TATGGATTCTCGCCTTCCATCGATATGTATTAGCTTGTCCCATAAGTTCCTTCCCTCCTTCCTTCCTTTTTTTTTCATGCGAAATTTCACATACATGTTTTATATTATATCGTCTATTTCGAGAATATTAACCCTTCGTAATGAATAGAAAGTTAAATAGGACACGTTTTTCTATAAGAAACTTCGACAAATTTTCTTCAATATAGATTTCACGTATATTCGAATCAAAGCTCCCGACATTATTATAACGCACGATAGAACGAATGATTTACCTTCTCGGTTTTAGTTGTATCTCTCTCTCTCTCTCTCTCTCTCTCTCTCTCTCTCTTCTTTTTCACGAAACAAGTATTTATCCACGTCGACGAGATCGTTTTGTATCCTTGGTTTGCGCCACGAAAAAGTGGACAAAAGAGAAGAAAAGAAGGAGAAAATCTTTGAAACGCGAGTACCTTTCTTCTTCCCCTTTCGTTCGCTATCTCTCTCTCTTTAACCATACGAGGGGAAAACGAGTGTCATTAATTTGCCGGTCGTGTAAGAAGAGAAAAAAAAAGAAAAGAAAAAAGAAATGGAAAAGAGAAAATAAGAGAAAAAGTAAAGGAAAAAAGGAGGAGGAGGAAAGATGTAGAGCTCGCTTTTACTCGAGGTAGGAAGCTAGCTGCGGGTGTTTCTTGATGGGTAAAAACGTGGCGCGAAACGAAAGAGACAAGAAAATCCTTAAGAATGGCGTAAAAAAGATAGGAGAGAGAAAATAAGATCCGGGGGAAAATGATTCAACGCGTTGTTGCGAAAGACGGTTGCCGACAGAACGCAAACTGGCCACCCACGCGCGCGACGCAGAGAAAAACGATCACCGAGATCCGATGGAAAACACTTTTTTCTAACAATAGATTTAAAAATTTGTCTTTTCCCCTCCGTCGCCTCGAGAATGATGAAGAAAATAGAAAAAGAGTAGAAAAAGAGTAGAAAAAGAGTAGAAAAAGAGAGAGAGAACATATCCTCTCCATTGGAATTCCTCTCGGATCTCAGCATAATCTCCATTTCGTTTCTTCTTTCGACGATGAAACGAATGGATGACCAAAAAGCGAGCCGCTCATGAATCTTCGTGATTTTCCTCTTCCTTCTCGTCCTCTTTTTCTTCTTCTTCTTCTTCTTCTAAAGCTGATAGATCAAGACCGAAGACGTTGTCGTTCGCCTTGAGAAATCATATACGTTAGTTCAAAGTACAATGAAGCTCGGAGAACTCGAGAGAACGGTGAACAATGAACCGGAAACTTTACGCCTAACCCTTTTCGCGACCTTTTCACGACTTTTCCTATCTCGAACGTAGAAAGAAAATAGGGAGGGAGGGAAAAGAAAAATCTATTCGAAAGCGATATTCTCGAGTTACTATCGTAAGCAGGGGGTGCTTTAAAGGGGGTGCTTTAAAGGGGGTGCGAAACCGATAAAGGATGTTAAAGTCCAAGTATCGAGTGGCCGTTCATTATTCTACGTCATTTCAGGAGGGTTAGCCTCTATCAATGATCAAGGGGATCGTTAGAAGTCGTTAATTAAGTGACTGTCGAACCACTGGAATCTATCCAACCCACAGACTAATAGGTATGGCCACCACCAAGAAGAGAAGGAAAGGAGGTGTGGTAGGAGGAAAGGACACCGACAGAACTTCTCCTTCAAGTTTCAAGAAATTTCCCATTTGCCGATTAATTCCTGATATCTTAATTAGTTTGAAAATCTAGAAGCCGATTAAGTTACTTACTTAATGTAAAACCAATATAGGTGATGTTAGAGAGAGAGAGAGAGAGAAACCGCCATTCGCCATAATTCGTCTATTATAAAATCTAGTAATACTCTTTCGACGAGACGAGAAATCAAATGGGTTGTAAATCATTCAAATTTGATTGAAATCAGACGAGAGATCGGAGTAACGCGCTAATTCTTTAGGATTGATGTTAGAAAGAAATGAAAGTGGTTAGTGACGTTTCCTGGGACAGGAAACTGCAATCTCGGTAATGCTGCTGTATGTCTGTCTGTCGATCTCATTGCCGATGACGATCTCGGTGATGGTAGGGGTTGATGATACACATAGGCTTTACGCAATCCTGAGGTCACTGGCAACTTGCCGTGACCCAGCCGCAGTCCTAAATCTTTTTGGCGGAGTGGATGTTCCATGGTTTATCCCTTGTTGCCCGATCTCACGAAAGTTAGATCATGTTGCCGGACGAGGAGTAAAGGACAGAGAGAGAGAGAGAGAGAGAGAGAGAGAGAGAAAGAGAGAGAGAGAACGGGGAAGAAGAATGTACTGCGCTTGCGAAGAGAGAACCACCACTGGATCTTCGGTACTACTGCAGGATATCAGGATCACAGAAACTTTGCCAATCCGTAGAAATCGTAGAAAAAGTGGGGAAAGCGAGTTGGCTCCGAGACTACGAGACGGTAAACAAAGATAAGGACTTGTTTCCTCTCAGCACTTTGTCCAGGATCTTTTTTTTCTCTTTCTCTCTTTCTCTGTCCTTTGCTCTTTCCGCTCGTAGCCAAGTGCAAAAGTAGATTTTTATCGCTATCTAATATACGCATACCTTTAGAACAAACGTGTACACACATACCTATGCAAGTTTCGTTTAATATATGTAACTGCATGCACATAAACCTGCTTTGAATTAAAATAAAAACGGGACTTATATTCTGCAGAAACGTAAACTCTTTATTATTATGATGAAAAACGCGAGTCGCGAGGACAAAGAAATATAACTCGTTATGGAAAATGATGAATGCCTTAGACCAGGTTTTGTATTTAATAATGATAGAAGAAGAAGAAGAAGAAGAAGAGATACGAGTGTTGTTGATAAAATTGATGTAACCATTTTCCAAAGAGATTTCTTTTCGACAATGATGAAATGAAATAAGCGAAAAGGGGTAAGGGAAAGAAGAAACGAGACCGATGCTCTTGGTGGTAGCAAAACTACGACAATGCGGTGAACTATGCGGTAAACTAAATACAGGTGAATACAGAAGTTGGTCGAAAAAGGGTCGGTGGATAAAGGACCGCAAGAACGAAGACGATGATATCGGTCAAAGCCAAGAGCGAAAAGCGAGATGGGAGGGTGAATGAAAATTGACGAAAGGTGAGCTATTTACAATACGTGTATAGATACTAGATATTCGACTTAGCTGATAGTCGATAAACGGCACACGTCGAAGGACACGAATTTCGGTCAAGGCTAACATTTTGCTCCAATACAATATATATATATATATATATTTCCTACCAACCCCTACCCATTCCACTCGAAAAATCACACCCCTGCCAGAAACGGCGAATATATATATGCAAAGACTATTTTGCATATGGCCGAGTTATGTTACGTGTATGATGTGTGCTAGCTTATCGATGATTGATTGGTAACATAGGTATATAGCACGTGTAATCAATAAATGAACAAATATTTGTGTGCGATCGATTCGAGTCGCTGGGATTAATCGAAAATTTGTATATTCGCCATTTAAATCGTGGGAAAATATTTTCAACGAGTAAACGTTTTAACTTTACCGTAAGCGTAAATGCACGTACACAGAAATGGAGATAAGAAAATAGCCGAGATTCTACAGCGCGCTAGATGGGAAAGAAATATGAAAGAAAAATATAGCGATCGTATAATGACCGTTGGAACGACGTTAAAGTTGAAGTCTGAAATGTTTGGATGGTCATACGTTCGTACGTATGTAGGTATAGTTACTATCTCTCTTGCTAGCTAGCTATCTACCTACCTACCTACCTACCAACCCATCTACCCACGATACGAGACTATGCTAGATGCGAAGACATTAGGCGAACCGACAGTAACGTATTTCTAGAAAAGAATTCTCGACGATACGGGAAACGACGAATATCATCGCCCTCGTACAATATACACCCTGGTTTATTTACCGCTCCGCTATCATCTCTCTGTCGTACTTGGAGAGAAATTTACCTCCAAATATGAGGACTGGAAATATACATAAACGGGAATAATGTTGTGGATTTGCGGATCACGGCTTTCGTTCGATATCGCTTCAAATGCATCATTAACTTTTTCATCGTTCATTATTTACGGAGCTATTATTAAATTTTATTCATCGCCTGTTCGCCAATATGAATTTCGCTTTTTAATAATAATAATAATAATAATAATAATAATCATCGTCATCACATCATCGACATCGTCGGAGATCGAATATTTGAATAGCCCTTAAGTGGTCCAAGTATTGAAGCTATTCGTTGGACCAATTCCTCTGTCCGTGAGATTGCATACTGATCGTAAGGATACTCGCTTTTGAATATTTGCGTTGTCGGTTGGAAAAGCAAAGCACGATGTGTGTAGTTAACAACGACCTCTTTCCGTTAATACTTGCAAGCATACATCTAACTAAAAGTATACGAGAACAATGTGTGATTTTTCGATCAATGAACAATACATACGCGTATGTTTACCCCTTTGATGAGTAAGCTTCGTATAGATCCAATGGCGGTCGTAATATTCCCATAAAAGACTGCTACTACAGCATAATAAAACCGTGTGTATAGTACGTATGCACGTATATATAGCATACGTGTATACCTACGTGTATAACTCTTCCCTCCGTGTATATAGTTAATGATCGTTTTAGTATGTTCGATTAACACCTTAACGACGAGACTATTTCTACCGTCTATAGTAGGATATTACATCGAGTCTAGGTCTTCCAAGAAGTCGTTCAAAGCGTACTCACCGAATACAATGAGAGAAAAATATCAGTGGGGTCAGTGAAAGCTCGTTCGCGTAAGCCCTAGGACGAGGATGAGAAAAGGAGGGCATTTTTCGCGGTGACACAGCGAAGAAATTCTCACACGACAAGGGAGAGAGAGACGCTTGCTCGCGTGGGAGAAGTTTACGTGTGGGGAAGGTGGAGGACGAGGGTGGTTTGATGGGCGAGTAGCAGGGAGAGAGCTTGCGCCTAGCCAGGTCGACTGGTTCGAGCTTGCGAGCCTTCTAGCAGCAGCCAGTCGCCGGCTACCGGGCCACGGTCGAGCATCTCTCTTCTCGGCTACACGAACACCGAGGAAACACTAAGTGTGACAACTATCACGACCTCGTAACCCTTTTTCTACGACCCTATTGGAACTCCCACGGAGAAAAACCAACGAGCAGCTTCCAGTACCGAGGAATACCGTTTTTTAACATTTTTATCATTTTTATATTTTATCGCATTCATCTTATTCTCCAACATTCCTATCGATCGACAATTATTTTCATTGATTTTCAAAATATACGTATTATTCTTTTTTTTTTATTTAACTCCGATTTCGAATATATTTGTTGTACGCGCAAATGAAGTGAAATTTAAAAAAGATTCAACGTGGCCGCATAAAATTCGTTTTATCGCGCGATAACTACTTTAAGGAAAACACCGAAGGAGGGAAAATATCGCGGGGTGCACGTTTACGATATAGTGATAGTAAAGAACTTTAGTTCCTTTAGATCTTCTCTCTGTCTCTTCATATTATATTCTTTATCTATTTGTACCTCTCGAAAGGAGGCAAGGGACTAACGTCAAAGAATCATGGGGAATGGTAAATAACCGCAAGCCCTTTTCCGAAGTGAACGTGTTTTTCACCAACGGTGGGACCATGTGAGGCTTCGACCATGACGGTGAGTCCTTTGCATTATTTTCTTTTCCCCCCTTTTTTATTCTTTCTTTTTTTTTTTTACCATCCACGCGGATTTTCCCCTTTCTTCGATACTCTATCATTCCAAAGAGGGAGATTTGAAGGGAACGATAAATAAATAACAAAATAATTATAATTGCGAATTTGTTTTTTCTTACGCGCGAATTTAAATCATCAACGGAGTCGCGCGTTTATTCGTTCAAAGTCCGGCGTGAAGACGCGAAAGTGCCGATAAACGCTCGACTGGATTCCAATGGACTAAGTCGTCCGTGGACAAATTTATCGATCACGAGTTGTACCCGAGAAATACCGACACAGAAAGGATAAGAGAAAGAGAGAGAGAGAGAGAGAGAGACGATCGCGAGTATTCTCTCTTGCATTGTCGCAATGCTGCCAATTTCCAAGATTCGATCTTATCCGCAGCTAGTAGTCGTAAACATAACATCGTTCTTCTTACCTTTTCTCCAACATTACGATACTATTGGGAATAATAAATATTAACAATAACGTTAAATTTAATGCATTCGCGCATGTAGATCGGCAATATCGCATACGTCGTTGTTGTTTAAAATACTGCATACCCGTGTTTCAGAATTATACAGATAAATGTGCGTGTACCTGCGCGTGTGCGTAAATGCGTGCGAAAACGGATAGACCGTGCGGTTTTTAATACTTCGCGCGCATTGAAATTCGAAAGATTCGAAACGTCCGTTTGAAATTCGTTCGATCGCGATGCTGATGCACGATAAGCCGATTAACATCGAATGAGATCGCGTCTTAATAACGAAAAACAATGCAGGCTAAAAAACAAAACAAACAAAAAGACCTTAGCCGCCGCCGCCCCTATCTATCTATCGAAAAAAAAAAAAAAAATAAAAAAAAGAAAAATCGAAAACAAGAGAGAGAGAGAGAGAAAGAGAGAGAAGAAATGCATTCTGGACGAACGGACGGAAAAATTGGCCGAGTTTTGCTAGGATATTTCATTGGAAAAACGAATGGAAACTATTGGTCTTCAAACTTTTTCGTGTTGCTTTTTTTTCCTTGTTTTTTTTTTAAGTATCAACTATGGTTTTCGCACCTCAACCGTACATCTATTGAGAACAAAAAGTTTTCCACGAGCCTCACTTTACTAGTAGTGCTCCGTAATAAATCATATTTGAAAGTTTTCCAAAAGCTAGCGCACACATCATCTATTCAAAGTTCCTTCTTACCGTACGTTATTATCCTATATTACGACACACTAAAAATTAATAGACCTAATTGATCGACTCGATCTAATTTGTTAGAATTATTTGAAAATAATTCTACTTTTGGAAAAATACAACATTACGTGTTGTAACATTGAAAATTTTCTCTCTCTCTCTCTCTCTATCTGTTACAATACTTAAGATTTTTAATTAATTTCGTCGCTCGTTAATTCAATCAAAATACCTCTGTCTCTGTCTATCTATTTATAGTGTAACTAACGTAGATATTCGTTAATTCTTCTTAACTTTCTTAACCGCGTTCCATTTATTAACGAAAAAGAAGAGAAGTAGGACGTACTACTAGCCGAGTGAACTCCTTAAGAGAGATGTTAAGTTTGATAAACTTTGCGAACGTTCAGAATTGATTTATAAGTCTCGTCTATCTTTCTTTCTTCCTCTCTCTCTCTCTCTCTCTCTCCTCGAGATCTAATTTTGTCGAATAACGCCTTGTATTCCGCGCAGTATAATAAAACGTTTCTCCTTATATCTGCGATATTTTCAAATAACCTCATCCCTTCCAATCTTTCCTTCTTTTTCACCACTTTTGTCTCTCAAACTCTTACAAGAGAATATATCATCCAACTAAAATGAACGCTTTATGACGATATATATCTCGTTGTTTGATTCAATTTACGTCTTGTTTTTTTTTCTCCCCGTTCATTTACATATTAACATTTATATACATTTTTTTTTGGTTCGATTTTCCTGTTTTATTTTTGGTAGGATTTTGTTTCTTTCTTATTGTAATTTTTATGTTTCAATTTAAACAAATGTAAGAACGAAATGAACGTACTACTCGGCAACTTGGTTAAACGATAAACTCATTAGCATTTACATGGACCACGCAATCGCTGATACTCTCTCCAGAGGATAGAAAGTAAGAATAAAGTGTGGACGAGAGAAAGGAAACAATAAGGTAGCAAAAGAAGGAAAAGAAAATAAAAGATAATGCCGATATCGAACGTGACGGAAATTCGTTTTTCGCAAGATAGTAATACTCGGGGAAAAAAGTTATGCTTTTCACGACCGGTGGACCCACATCGACGCAGCCGGTAGATTTACATATTTAATGCAATTACGCTAATCGACGAAAAAGTTTCTTTTCCGACACTGCAGTTCCGGTGCAGCCGGTCGCCGCAACTACCACCGCGGCCACTACAGCATCGTTCTTATCGCCAAAGACCGAAAAGGAAAGAAAAACAAAAAAAGGAGGAGTTGGTGTTAAAGAGAGAAAAAAAATCTTCGAAAAAGAAGGCTCGGTCAAAGATAGTTTGCACAAAATAAAAGTAAGAAAAAGGAAGCGTTAAAAGTAAGTACCGAACCCGAAACCGAACCCAAACTTGAAGTCGAAGCAGAAATCGAAATACGTAGGTTGGTAAAAGAGGGTAGTCACCCTCCCTAACTGAGAGTGTCTAGCGCATAACCGAACCTTCCGGACGACAAAAGTTAGTTGGCAAAGAGAGAGTATCAGCGCGTTGTACCTGTGCACTCGCTACAACGAGCAATGTTTAACGCTAGACCAACACAAAACTCGTCAAAATAACGGATCTCCTATTTATTCCCGTATCACGATATTGAACGGCTATTATTACTAAAGTGATCTTTTCTTTTTTTTTACTTTTCCTAGTAAACTTTTTTATAAATTAAAATAACAAAAGTAATGGTCGAGCAAAAACATGTTTTAAAAGAGAAGTCGATAAAGGTTCGTAGCGTTAAATTCGATTGAAAGTATAGGAAGAACACTTGTCTAATGTTACGTATGTGTATACATCGAACGAGAGATGTGAGAAAACGTAGCACGCGAACAAGCAACGTTAAAAAAAGCTATAAACGAAAAAACGTGAAGAGAAAGGTAGATAGACACCGTCCAACTACTACTACTACTACTCGTGCAATCAAGTTCGTTATACAGATATTAAATTCATGACTAATATAATTGCTTTTGCACAAAGATCATTTTTTTTCAAGCAGAAATACGAATTTACTGTTTAACGATCGACCATTTTGATATCTTCGACGTAATGGATATTAAAAAGTCGTTTCGCGGAATCTTCATTACGCGCGAGAAATTTTATTCTGTAACAAAATGAACGATGATCCATACACGGTTAAAAATCTTTTTTTTTTTATTATACGCTATTAATCGCTAATTGTAAGCTTTGAATGATACACGACGTTTAATAAATAACGTCAGGTAAATGTTAACGTATTCGATACACTGACCGTTCGCGGAGAAAAGGCATTAGATGAAAATTAATTCTATTCTACCGACACCATGATAGTATCCAATTATTCTAATATCCTGAAATTCCGATCGCCGATTCTGAATGTAAAGCACTGCCAGCTTTGGTTCGATGTACAGTCTGCGGCAATGGGGCAACTCAAACGAGGAGAATCCAATAAGAGAGAACGGCAGATTATCCATTTACAATTAGAACGACTCATTTCCATAATATTAAGGAAAATAAATTGCGATAATTCGAAAAAAAAAAAAAAGAAAAAAATGCCGAAAATGGAAAATTGTTAACGTTTATCGTGGCAGAAGAAAGTCACGTTATATACGCATTCGCTAAAGAAATAAAGTAGGAAAAGATGGGGGGAAAAAAAAATGTCCGTGCTCGTGTAACGAGAAAACGCGAAAACAAAGAAAAGAAAAGAAAAGAAAAGAAGAAAACGCGAACGGGTTAGGGAACGCGGCTTTTGATTGATGGCCTTCGAAATCAATTTCCGCGTTGGATCGCCTTGATCACGAGAAAAACATCTCCAACAGGTGTGGCGCCGTTGATCAGGAAAATCGAAGGGTGTATCGACCACCTACGACGCGACCGGAACTTTATGCCCTGTACGAGGATGTATTATTAAAATTACACGGAAGAAAAGGGAGGGAGAGAGAGAAAATACGTTTCGTTTTTCCATCCCATTTTTTGTTGTTTCCCTTCTTTTAGCCGAATTTCTTTGGAATAATTGTCGGAGGAGAAAAAGATTCCTACGGAAGAAATAAATCGAACGTTACTAGGAAAGCTTTATGTTTTCAATTCCGCTAGCTCTCGAACGTGTAGGATGCTACGTAAGTAAAGGAAAGAGAAATGGAACGCGGAATATCAGGCAAGATATTCGAGGGAATCGTAAATCTACATAGAATATTTTTAACGCAGGCAGAGAACCTTCTGTTACATCTTTTTTCTTTTTCTATCGGGTAGCCAGTATTACATTCGATTTGACTTCTCCTTCTTCCTCTTTCTTTCTCTTTATCTCGCTTTCGTATACATACGACTAGGTCCGTCGAAAATCAGAATCGATATATGTATAATCGTTGAGATTCCGAAATCCAGAAGCACTATATAAACTATTTTCTAGCATTTGGTAGAGAATTGTAGGACCACGGTGGGAATCGACAATATCCTTTGAAAATAACACTCTCCGGCTCGACAAAATAAATCGTCTTACGTCAGCAATTTGGGATCTCTTTCGAACAAAAGCTCAAAGACGTAAAAGCATCCTACCGAAAAATGGCTGCTCTGGTGGTCGATGAGCGGCGTGGAAAGTAAAAGGAAGAAAAATAAATTGCTAAAGTCCCCGCCGAATAAAAGATAAAAATGCATCATCAGTTCGGCTCGGCAGCGCACGGCACGGCACGGCACGGCACGGCACGGCACGGCACGGCACGGTTATATCTACGGTACTGGCATAATATATGAAAATTTGGAAGACGTTTTTCTCAAGGGTCTTCTTGCTTAAGAAAGAAAAGAGAAAGCGGAAGGATGGAAAGGAAGTTCCTAAAGAAGAAGGAGGAACAGGAAGAAGGTAAGGTGCGGTCGAGTGTAAAAGAAGGTCAAAAAGTAAAGTTCAAAAGGAAAAAAGGAAAGAAGGAGGAGGGAGGGAGGGAGAGGAAGTAAGCTTTGTTCGCGGTATATTCCAAGAAGCAAATGCGCCGAGCAGAGTTCGTTGTTGGATTTGGGAGAAGTCTCCTTATCGTTTACCGCGGGTCCTTGTCTTTCTCTCTTCCAGCTACCTCTTAATCGGCTTCCCCTCTTCTCGAAAACTTGTTTCCCTTGACTCCGTGTTGTCGCATATCGCACGTAGCCGGAAGTCTCGGAACAACCTACACCAGGGATCAAACTGGAGGGGACGGGGAAATGGAAGAACAAGTGGAAGGAAGAAAAAGCTTGGCTTTTTCCTAGTAAATCGAGAATAAAGAACGGTCGAGTAAGGTATTAAAAGCCATCAGGGATATTGTAGGTATGGAAGATTTTTGCGCAGAAGGCAACCACCCACTTACGATCGCAAATCATCCGACGAGATATATTAAAGTTTCCGAAACGTTATCGTTACTCGTATCCCAGACACACGCTCGTGCACCCAAGCGCATTTTTCTATTTTCTTTCTCTCTTTCTCTCGAAATACGTGCTGAAAAATTTAAACGAGAGAAAGAGAAAATGACGGTACCGTGGAAGAAAGTATTCGAATTCGGTTCACGTCGAAGGACTTAATACGCGAAACGCGCAAAAGGGCGGTAAGCGTGAATAATCGTTATGCTGGTGGTCTTGCTCGGCTAGACCTTGCACCTATTTTATGCAGAACAGGTTATACCAAAGGTAAGAGCTGAAAGAAAGAAGAAATGAGAATAAAGGAGGAACCGAACTTAGATATCCATTATGGATCATTATCCAAACTCGATTTATAATCCTTCCAAGCGTGGAACATTTCGATTACCTTACGATCCCTTTCAACGCTACGATGACCTCCATAAGCTACTTAATACTACTTTAATAGATTCTACGATAATAATCGTTCGATTACACGGAATCGTTAAAGACTGCAATACGAACCGATAAGCAATAAATTTGGCTAAATAAACAAATAAATAAAGAAAGAAAATCAAAGTATCCGAGTTACGCGCTATTGTTATATCGTAACCCATCGTCGTCGTGTTTCTCTACGAACTATCGAATAAAATCGAAGCCGAGTAACCTCGGTTAAATTTCGCTCTCGAAGCATCAGCTATATTCGTCTTCATATCAACGAGTGCAGCAAAATTAAAGATTCGAAATCCGGAAATTCGCTGAAATCTCAACATCTCGTCGAATATATACCGTACATATATATATATATATATCATTCTCTCTATTCCTATCTATACATCTCTTCCCAGTTTCCTTGCACTTTCCACTTGCGCAGAAAATTATGCTCACGACTATTTTATTCCCTCGTTCCAGCTCTATCGAGGAATTTAATATCTTCGTAGCAGATAAATCGTAATCTCGAGATTTTAGCGTAATTTTATTTCACTCTGTCTCTCGTTCGCACTTCTCTCTTACTTACTTATCCGTTTCTGTTTTTCCAAGTAACGACTTTTCCTCAAACTAAATACAAGTATAACCTTATACTCACTATCTTTCGAAAATCAAGCTTAGCTGGCACATTCTTTGAATACGGATTATATAGCTACTAGGAAAGCTCGTTTATCTCGTTTGCTAATAAATACACGTCAAAGGTTAGCTCTGAAAGGAACGCGTAGGATGTTAGCGAGAGAAATGGGGGATGCTTTCGATAATTTAATTATCGACGCGGCGCCGTGCCGTTGACGAGGACAGAAGCAACGAGGACAGAAGCAACGAGGAGAATGCGTCCCGTTGTGTAATTACTATCGCTCAGAGATCCAATAATAGCGCTATAATGCCACGAGTAGGGGTAACGTGTACGATTTAGTCTATAAATTAGAGATGTCTTTTTCGACTAGCGTTCTATTCCTGATTTATATCGTACGTCGAATTCTCTCTCTCTCTCTCTCTTTCTTTCTATATATATATATATATATTTACATCTATCTCTCTTTCACTAGCCGTTATCGTTTCCCAACACACTTGTTTGAATCGAGATACACGAGAGGCTAGTTGCTACCGCGTTGTTCTTCCAAAAGAAAACAAAGAAAAAACCATAGAACCTATATAACAAACGAGAGAGAAAGAGAGAGAGGGAGACTGGACATAGTAAACGATAAAAATTGTACGCTCGGTCTATGTGCATAGTTCGTTTAATACTAGAAAAAAGATATCGATTTAAAGGACCTACGAAATCGATTCCATTCCAAAGAAAAATGATTAATACCGCGATCAATGAATAAAATATAAAAAAAAGAAAAAGAAATGTTTGATTCCACGTGCAGCATATATAGGTAAAAATATCAAACCCTTACGTTCGCGTTAAAGGCGAATAAAAGGGAAATTAATTCGAGGTCAAACATAGTGAAATGAAAAAGTCGTCTTCGTCGTTCTTACTGTCTACACGATAGGGACGAATATTACGATTTCGCTTGAGAAAAAGACGCGATTACTCGGAGGACGGCCAGAAAAAAGGATTCTTTATTTTTTCCCTCTTTCTATTTCCCTTTCTCCCTCTCTTTCTGTTCAATGTCCTTGCGCCAACGACTTGGCAGAGTCTAAAGATTTTCTTTTCGTTTTTCCAAGCAACGGCATCGCTGCTGATTGGGTCTTCTTTGAGAAAGGATTCACCGTGCTAAAATTGATTTCTCGTTCAATATCAAGAGAGAAAGAGAAAGATAAAAAGAAAGAAAGAAAGAAGGAGAGAAAGAAAGAAGGAAAGAAAGAAAGAAAAAGGAAAGCTATCTTATTCCCTTTCTCTTATCGTCTCGCTACGGCAGGATATTCTCGACATTTTTCTATTAGATCGTAAGATGTAATTTCAAGTGACGTTTTCAACCACGAAGATTAAGCTATCTTCTAAATAACTTCCTTTCTTACGTATAATATGTAAAAGAAAAAAAAAAAGAAAAAGATAATTAAGATGATGGTCGTGTTTTATTGTAGAATTGTCACCTAACTTCCCTATAACGAGCACGAAAAAATAATAATAAAAAGTGAAGAGTACGTAAGTACCTATGTATGTAATTCGAGGAAGGACGCAAGGGTAATTTCATTAATTCAATTTCGAAGTGGCGCGCATATAGCGAAACGAGAAAACTCGCCAAGTGCGAAATAAACGTTCGCACCCAGGATCCTACTAGATCGTGATAATTTTCCAGGGAGCTTTTACAGCATCGTTCTGCAACCAACTACACCCTCGTTCACCACACGTGTTTCCGAAATTTTTCCAAAGTGTATATTTTCTGCGGGCAGACCGTTAAGACAATTTCCAGTTACGAGTTTCTCTCGTTTTCCTTCTTCACGTGCAACACCGCAATTTCGGTGTCCTTCTGCTGTCCGGTTAAATTATAAAAAAAAGAAAAAAAGTTAAAAAAAATGAAACGTAAGAAAAGAAATTATCGCGTCCAAGTTAATTCGAATGAAACGAAAAGATGCGTGAGAAAAATAGAAAAAAAAAAGAAAAAGTGCAACGGATAAGAGAATAAAGTAAAATAGATGCACTTCTGACGAGTCTCTCTTATACCTTCGTGAAAATGTAGAAAAGGAGTGAAGTCGATGAAAACGAGTATGTATGTATGTATGTACACATCGAGAGTATATACATACATGAAATATGCCATGCGAATGCACTCAAATGTTTAAGAGCCCGTATATGAAGCCGAGCTTCACGCTCCTTGTTTTCTCACTCGGCCCTTTTTTCTCCCAGATCGCTCTCGATTGCGATCTCGCATCGTTCATAATAAGAGCGCAACATCTATTCTACGTTACGTTAAAGCTCAAATTAAAAACACATATGCGGTTCGAGAGAGATCTACTCGGTTAAAAAAAAAAAGAAAAAAATAATTACAAAATCAACAAAAAGATTCATGAAACAATTTGAAAATAAAATGCGATACGAACGTAACTTCAATTCAATTTCCGAGCCAATAAGTTCTCTGGTATTTACGTTTTAAATTCAATAAATAAATCCTGAAAGATATCGATTACCAAAGTTTAACGAGTTTCGATTGTTGTTAATTAAATATTAATAAAAATACTTACGAGAGTACTTATAAGAGTACTTGCGATATCGAATCTTGTCCTTTAACAGCTTTAAATTATCTACGATTTAATATACTTATATAAACTTGAAAGACGTAATAATAAAATAGTTAAATTTGCTCGAAGTATTCTGTTTAAAAGTCGTTAAGATAATAGACTTGATACAGGTTGAGATAAAAGTTACAAATTCTCTACTTTCATTATGCTTTCGCCAAAAATTGCAACGCAAGAATTTTCTCTTTTTTAGTTTAATTGCAATTCATTTTTTATAACGTTTTAATTTAAGATGCACATTAACGAACAAACAAATTTTTAAACACAAGCCTGCGTTACAGGTGAAATAACGTAATCATCAACCATAATCAAGGTAAAAAAGCTCGACATTGTTTCATTTACGTTCGAACGCAAAGATAAAATAATATGATTTATTTGCATATGTATTTTTAATGCATATGATTTTCGGTACTTACATATACATATGTAGATAAAGACAGCTGCGATGGATTATTTATAAACGTCATCTTCTCTTCCGATCTGCAATATATCCTTTCCCTTCGCTAATGGAATCCATACAACTGGTTGAAATACGAAAATAGAAAAACACTAATTAATACGATGTAAATATTAATATTTTTAAATAAAAACAAAGATACAAAGTCTATCTTCTTTTTTATCTACACATGCAACATTGATATTTCGCTAAATGTAAATAAACATTAATTAACAATAATTAATATTCTTCCATCTTGATGAACGCTTTTTTGTTTTTTTTCGTAGGCCATCCTGGATGATATCGTATGATTGCATATGCAATAATGCACATATAAAAATTAAGTATTATACGCAATTCGATCGGTGTTAATTAATGAGTTATGTATAATTAACTCAAAAATCATTAAAATGCGACGATAATATCGGTATCGTCAAAAATAAATACGAGAATATACAATAAAATACAACGACAACAACGCTAATTTGATATTCGAAATATTTCCTAACCTAATTGTAATATATACATGATAATGAAATATCTCTTAACCTAATTGTAAGTGTCGAAACGAACTATAAAGAATAAAATGTATAGATTATGCATTTAAACGTTAGAATGATGCACTGGAGGATGATGTATTATGAAAAGAATTAAATTATTTACCTGTATATAATTAGATGAATAAAAATCACGCGTGACATGTTGCTACCGGCACTACAACGATTGACTTGCGCTGTATACTGAGCTGAGATCGGCGTTACGCATGCGTACAACGTCACGAATGCGCGCGCAGTCATTTTCCTAATGCCGGCATATTAAGAATATTTAAATACATCTAAATGTTACTACAAAAATATGCGAATGTTATAACAACGATATTCTGTTATATAAACTATCAAAGCAAGTAGTTATATAAATAAAAACGTTAAAATAATGCCCCTAATACGAATTGCATAAGAACAAAACTGAATAATTATGAAAATGTAATACCAACGAAACTATATGCAAAAGGAAAAATTCTTGTTTGCAGAATTGAAAAAGTGGCTAACAATAAATATTGCTAGAGAATGCAAATCTCTTACTAACTAATGAGTTTTCATCGTACGTATTTGTCGTAACGAACTAGCTTATGCAAACCCAGCAACCGCTTGCAAATTCAATCAGTGGACATGTAATCGATTCACTATGCGAAGAAGTACGAGGCAAACATTCAACGGTGAAATTTTACGGGAAAATTTTCAAAAGTAAAACGTCACGACGCGTATCAATTAACCTCAATTCACGAAGGAAAATTTGTATTGTTTCAATGCACAATACGAATAAAATGCGAACGATGCAGCATCGAGCATCCCGTTTTGCGTTCGTTCGTTCGTTCGTTTAATGAGTGTATGCATACATAGTATAGATTTCAGTTGGAAACGACTTTAATGGCATTACATGAAAACGATGATCAACCTTTTATACGCTTTTATATCCACTTCGTTAAATGTTGTTGAAGAAATAATAAGATAAATGATAAATAAAAAGGATCGGTCGATCGAGCGAAAATAAAAGAATAAAAAAAAAAAAAATGAGAGAAAGTTGGAAGGGGAAAAAGAAAGAGACAGAGAAGGACAATATTTTCTATAAAATTTGTCGGGCCAGGTCGAAATTAAAGGAGAGAAAACGTATAGCGCGTGAGAGGTTCGCGTAACTCACAATCAGGCGCGTCTCGTGGCTAGATAAATTTAATGTCGAGAGCTAGAAAGCGAGAGAAAGAGATAGAGGAAGAGGAACGTTGGCGTAAAATAGTGGAAGGATTTTGGAAGCGCTTGTTCGGAATAATTCGGTTAGTCGCGAACAAGCATTATTATATAACAGTAGTCATAGTAGTAGCAGTAGCAACAGTACCAGCTTTGCTCGTTCGTTAAAATATGTATATATCAAAAAGGATGAAAGTTGGTGGTAGTCGATATTAATTCATGGATGTGTTCCTTACGAATGGAAATAAGAGCGGCGCGTTATATGTCAGAGGTCGAAAGCTACGTACGAAGCATTGAGAGGAAATTTAGAAGCAAACGTAAGAAGAAGAATAAGATGGTGGTGGTGGTTGCGAAGGGGGAGGAGAAAGAGAAGGCGAAGGTGTCGTGAATCCTCTTCTTCAAATCTATTCCTTGCATAGTCAAACGTCGAAGAAGTCGTACGTGCCTCCGCATATTCTGCTCCGTACATTTCGAGTAATTGCAAGGAATTTCAATGACGCACGAACAAAAGGGTTGTCCGTGTAAACTCGGATGATTGGTCGCCTGCTCTTTCTCTTCACTCCTCTCGCACTCGCTTGCTCTCTCCTTTTCCACAGCCGCGACGAGGCAAAAGCGAACGTGTGCGGGAATAAAAAAAACCATCTCAACGTTCTCGACTCTCGTGTCCTGATGCAAAAGGGAGAAAAACGGTAGAAAGGGGGAGGGAAGAATCACCCGGTGGATGAATGTACTTTCAGCCTTCATACGTGTCTCGCGTACAAGCTTGCGAAAGTAAAGTAAAGAGAAGGAGGGAGAGAGAGAGAGAGGGTTGTACGCCGCGAGAAATTTCATATCGGTCGTCTTTCGAGATATGGAAATGCGAGAATTACATCATCAAGGAAAAAATGTGTTTCCTGGCCGGTGAAATACATATATCCGTAAAACGACGTGTCGTCCTCCTTTTCCCTTTCCTATTCTACTTTGCCGGTAATAAAATATATCCAATCGCTTTTCGTAAAACGTACCGATGCGAAAAAGCTGTAAGAAATTAATCTCACCGTCGAATAACTACCGCCTACAAAAAGATTTCTTTGAAGAAGAACTCAAATTCGCGCGTAGCAAAGAATGTAAGAAACGTTCGTTGAATCCAAAAGGATTTACTTATTCGATCTATCCTCTTTTCCTCGAGATTCGTAATTTTAAACTTTCGAATCTTATTATAATTCGGAATAAACGTAGCAGCGGGTAAGGCCTGCAATTAATTTCTAAAATTCAAAGAGAGAATCACATTATTAAGTCCGTCCTCGCGGTATATTTCACAAGAATTCTCTCTTAAGGTTTTTTTCTCCAAGTATTTTACGAAACACCTGGGAGAATCCAAGGAATTCGCCATTCATAATTATAAACTTGGCGAAAGCGTTGGAAAAGTTAGAAGAAAATATGAGAAGGGTTATTATGTAATTTAGACGACCTAAAATTGCGTAAGAACACGATAAAAAAAAAAAAGAAAATCCTTACGTTACTGGGTTTTAAAAGAGAATGCATTTTTTCTCTCGTTAAATCTTTATCCGATATTCCTGTATTGATGTATTCTACATTTTTAATAAGGTATGCAACAATATATTGTACCCATAAGATTATAAACATTGATTTAAAAATACTTGCATTAAAGATTTGCATAATTCACTTGTTATAAATAATCCTTTCGAGTTAAACTTATTAAACATATAATAAAGGTATACTAATGTATTTCATTTCAAAAATGTCATCATGGTAAGCACACGATACCAATAGTTTTGAAATAAAAATTTTGTAAGCGTAACTATATACGATTTTTAAATGACCCTCTCGTTGTATGTTCGATGGATCGATCGTGCTCGTTATTGTTGCACCGAGAGACCAATCTCTCCATTGTTTCGTGTTCCTTGCTGAACAAACAGCAGTGCTATGCATTCCTGTACATTCGTAATATCGCCATCAGCAAATTACAATACTTTAATCCTTTGTTAAAATTTAATCAGAAGTTTGCTTAAGTGGTTGTCATTATACTTGTCTCGAGAAAACTAACATTAAAGCAAAATCCATATATACATATATACAATATATATTAATATACATTTATAACAAAAATCAAATTCTCTATATATAAAATAATAAAAATTCAATTGGTGCGTTCAAACAAGTATTATATTAATCGTTAAAACCATTGACGAGTTATATCGTTTTAAGGGTTCATAAAAAAAAAATATTTAAAATATCGTTCGAACACGAGCTAATGTAAAAAAAAGACATACATTTGAATGTTTTTCATCCTCGTATTTCATCATCATAAAACAAATTGATAAAGAAACACAAAATAAGGATATAATAATAAATAATAAAAAGAAAAATTATATAAAGATAGAAAGAAAAAAAAAAGAATTGAAATGTGTAATGCGAATACACTTTGATGCGGAGCTTTACCACGTAAATCGGATACAGCTTTGAGGTGAAATTTTCCAGTGGAAATAGGAGGTAGTTCCAAAGCCGACGTGCTCTTGTCTGGAATTGATACCTTGTTCGGCAGTGTAAGGTTGCGTATGCAAGTAAGAGAGAGAGAGAGAGAGAGAGAGAGAGAGAGAGAGAGAGAGAGAGAGAGAGAGAGAGAGAAAGAAAGAGACCGGATATTTAAACTGCGAATCGAAACGAAAAGCTTGGACTAGTCGATCGGTCTCTCATAGCAGGAGAGAGAGCTTTTCACAAATTTGACGACAAAACAAAGAATTTCTTTTACAGAAGTGACAGACAGTATAGTACTTCTCTATATGTTCACGTCCATTCGTTTGTCCGAAAAAAAGAAAAAGAATAAACAAGGAGAATACCTATCCGAACTTTCGATAGGCTTTCTATCTTTGTCATTTTTTTGACGTATAGCTTGAAAATTTTCTTTTCTTTTTTTTTATTCTTTCTGTTGTGTGTCTAAAAAATCCATGTAAGCTAATAGAAAATAGAATAGAATAAAATATTATACAGTATAATAAAGATTGAAACACTCGATTGAAATACAATCGACTTATCGACAATCCACTTCTCTGATCTAATATGTTGGTACTCTTGAAAGTAGCACATGTACCACTGGAAAGCAAAGCTCTTTAAAGGTCCTTTTAATCGGAAAGCTTTCCATCGGAAACTCTGACACATACTGCAGACAAAATATATACGCTGAATTCTTCTCATTCTTGAAAGAGCTTTATAACCTGTAATGCTTCGAACGAGATTTTAGTTAATGCTTAGCAATACTATCAACATCAAGTTTCAAAGATGATATCACAAGTTCGTTAATAGTTAGATGAGTATAGAATGTAAATTATATATCTTATCTATATATATACATAAAGTTACTTTACTTTCAACTTACTAAAGATACTGAATATCCAACGTTGGCTAATCGTTTTCGATAATGCGTCAAAGTTTTGCTTGGACAACAAACTGATCACTCGCTGAATTTCAGGATACCCCTCTTCCAACGAAGCCTCCACAGTCTTTAGATAAACGACGAATTAACGAGCTTTCTTAATCTTCTCGATTACCTACAAGAAATCGAGTAATTAAAAAGGAAAATATATTTATTCGATTAGAGTTTTCGTTATTTAATAAAATGTATTTTGTTAAATAAATGATCGGTATGTATGCATGGTGTCAAAGGTTTTACCAGCCAATTGGATACTTTGTGTATCGATATATAAATCGTATTTGTTTAATATAAATATTATTTATTGTATAATCATATGTCAATATTTGATTATAAATATTAATCATTTATCTAAAATATATATAGATTAAAATTATTTGAATAAAATATTTTCCCGATAAACAGAAGCCATTAGAAAGTGATTGTTTTAAAGGTATTTCTTGTTGGCGGAGGTAAACCTACTGTTTGAATATTTCAAAGTAGAAGAAGAAGAAGAAGAAAAAGAAGAAGAAGAAGAAGAAGGAGAAGAAAAAGACGAGAGCTCGGTCGACAACGAAGAGAAAAAAGCTATCAAAGATATCGGTTAAGTGGACCAAAAAAAAAAAGAAAGAAGAGAGAAACAACGAGGAAAGTCGTCGGTGAAGAATCTCGACATTTTCTTATTGAATATTCTCGATTATCACTTTTGCCAGATCGTGTTTTAGTTCGACAAATACTGACCATGACTTTTCCTCAACTTTATTATTGAAAGTAATAAGAACGGTAATAAAAAAAACTACTATCGTTTCATTGGAAGTTTTAAAACTTGGTTATTACACCCTCGTTTGCAAGTTCGCTAATGCTTTCGATGCAAAAGAAAAAAGAAAAGACAAATAAAAGATCGTGATTATAATGGAATAAAAAATGAAAATAAAAAAACAAACTACTCTTGTAATTTTTCTTACAATCAAACGTGCATTCACGGAAAAATAATTAATGATCGTGATCTTTCTTTTCCAAAAACACTTGAAAAAATTCGTCAGAAAAGGTTAATAATCATTCTCCCTTTTTCTTTTATTTTCTTCCCTTCCGAAACTCGAAAGATTTGGAAGTTCGCGCGCGTTTATGTGTACAGCGAACGAAGTTTTCTATGTTCCGAGGAACTCGCGAAACTTCGTTGAAGTTTTAAAACGCGCCAGAAACAACTTAAAACACTTTTGGAATTCAAAGTTATTTGTCTTCGATGGATCGACAGGTACATTATCTTTTACCTTATTTTGCTTTTTTTTTCTTCTTCTTTTATCAGCCTTTAAAATACGAACCGTGTCTACTCCCTTTTGATTGAGTTTTCAAACTTTCATTGAAAAAGTAATCAAATTTGAACATATTATGTTAAACAAATATGGAAAAGTTGAAAATATTTCAATAAATAACAAAAGTAAATAAAATAAAAACATTTTGTAAATATATTGAAACTTTAAGATAAAAAGGCTTGAAGATTTCGATAAATAAAACCCTTTATTGGAAACTTAATGTTTCCAAGCTCGTTTCTATCAAATACTTTTCCCGCATATATTGGACAAGCATGGAGCGTTGTTATATACCAACGAATCACAAATAGAAGCACAAAAAGAGACCAGAAAGGGGGATAGAAAGGGGGATAGAAAGAGGAAGGTTTGATGAAACTACCTACAGTCGATTCTAGCACACTGTCAACCGAAATCAAACCTTTCTCTAACGCAACGCTGTACAACTTCTTTTATTGTTAGCCCGCAAGTCATTATTTTCTTTAGCAAATATTTCTGAGGCCAAGAAGGATACATAATCAAAAAGTCCATTTTTTTTCAACGATAACAAAACGACGATTATATTATAAATTGTTGAAATATTAATCAAATGTTTAAAAAAGATATCTTCTTGGGATTTGAAAAAGCCTGCTGAATAATTCAAAGAAAACAATGAATCGTTACTAAAAATTTGTTGAAATATTAAAAAACTTGTTGACAACTAATTCAAACGTATAACACAGAATTTCGTCTGTCTCTCATTACCGTTTATATACATATATAACGACGGTGTTTAAATATTAAATAAAATGTAGAAAATAAATCTGTGGGCGTTAGCATGAAAAATTCACTTTTAATTTGTCCCACCTATTTTCTTTAATGTGTTTTCCTCGTAATCTTACTGTATACCTTCAGACGAGAGAAAAATTCGAAAAAATCGTGATGAATAAACTCGCTTTAAGTAAATTTTTCATTGCATCATTTTATTCGAAAATTTCCTCCTAATTGTATTCTATATTTTCATCTACCGTTCTTTAAAAATCGTCGAATACAGGAATTATATTTGTTTAACAATGATATCACAAAGTGGTGGTTCTATACGTTAGTTATACGATCATAGTGGTGAGCAATAATTCGTTTTACTCGTAGCTCGAAAGTTTGCTTGGCAAATTGTTCTCGATCGTAATTGAAATTACATCATTCACGATATAATATATGTAGATTTGACGATTACAAGTGTCGACTAGGATCGTCACATGTGAAGTGGTAGGACAGTTATGTTTTCCTGCATATATACTATAGGATATATATATAACGCGACAACGTAGGTAAAGTCGTAACCTGTTGCACGATGAACAACCCGCGCTATACATTGTCCTATTCTATCTTTATCGTTTTGCATATTCCTTGTATATTTCTATATTAATCATTGAGATATTCTAACGAGACAGGAATTTAAATTGAAATTAAAAAGTTCAAACGGATGGCCAAAGTGTATTTGTTCTTCCCCCAAATTCAACTCATCCGTTTCGGTTTGGATCGATGGATGAGAAAAAAGTATTAAAAATATTAATCTGTAAAAATTTGTTTAAAAATTACACATATCTTGAGTAAATAATTTCCTTCTGATATTTTATTAGATCAAAATTTTCCACTTGAAATCACCACTTACACGGGAACGTTAAAACAAATGTATTTTAATTAAAACAATCGTTAATTGTAAGTAGAATAAAAAGATGAGAGTGTTGAAATAATTGTTAAATAATCGATAGAAGTTTCCGTTGTTGTCTAAAAGCCAGGTGTATAGGATCTATGTACCGTCCTCTTCGAAGTCTCCTGTTAGACTGATACGTTGTCACATAAAAAAGTTTTTTCTATCTACTTATATTTTAAATAGTTTAAACATATATACATTAAATTAAACATTTCATACCTATTAACGTACTATAGATATTAAATAATTACGATCTAATATTCTTTTAGCCGAAAATTTTATCCTCGAAGTCATCATTGCGCAGGAGCGTTGAAATAATTACATAAAAATAATAAAAATGATAAAATTAGAACGTTTTAATGTTAGATTTTATTTATTAGGTGTATTATTTCCTTTATACACATGCGCAACGTTCGGAAAGTCATATAAACAACTTTCAATAAAAGTAAATTTCATAGAAGAGGAAGTGCCAGTCTCAAGGTGCATCTCGGGGAGGACGGTACATAGATCATATACTCCTAACTTTTAAGCAACAACAAACACTTCTATTAATTAATTAACAATTATTTTAATAATCTAATGTACTCTACTTATATTACAGGAACATTTTATCCTCGAAGTCATCATTGCGCAGGAACGTTAAAATAATTACATAAAAATGAAAAAATACTTAAATCAAAACGTTTTATATTATAATCTTAAATTTTCTTTATTAAGTATATTATTCCCGTTATACACAAGCTCAACGTTCGCAAAATCATAATGTTGTTTTTATAACTATCCGAAGGCTACATATGCATAACAAAATTAATATTCGTAATAAATCGAATTTCCAGTCTAACGATGGATTTCGAAGAGGATGCTGCACTAAACATATACTTCGTGCATTTAGACTACAATACACATTTCCTTCGATTAATTAATAATTATTAAGTATATGTCGACACTCTCAAAGTATATATAAAGAAGAATAATGAATATCGTTTTCGGGTTGTTTTAAAAAATTCTCCTTGTATAAATATTAGAATTGGATCATATTGGTTTGGTATTTAAAATCTAACATTTAAAACATATGATAAGCATATATATATAAAATATCACTTATGCGTATCACTGATATAAAGATCGATGATTCGGAGATCTCAATTCTAGAAGTAAAAATGGTAGGCAAGAGTTGTTCTCTAACAAGTCGGAGGTTGCATAGCTCGAGGATATCACAGAGGCATCTCGTATTTATGCGTAGTGAAGTCACGTATGTAGGATACTGTGTGTTTTAGCGCTCGATGTACCTTCTGGATATGCCAGAGGCATCGTGCTCTCCTTTCCCTTTCTTTTTGTTCTTTTTACAATAACACACATACGCCTCACTGAAACACAAAGTGAGAGAAATAGAGAAAGATGGAAAAGAAAAAAAAAGAAAAAAAAAGGAAAGAACGAATCGGAGACAAAAGTGTCGATTCGATCCATCGAAATCGTTTTCTCTCTCTCTCTTTTTATGATTTTCATCGGTGAGTTGACATCGCTACGAAAACAAAATCACCGAGAAAAGATTGATATTCCACATTGTCTAGAATACCACCCTACGGAACTCGTACAAGACTTCATCGTCCCTTTCTACTCTATCTTTTTCGTATCGATTTCGTCGAGAAAATAATAACCTTCCTATAATCGCGTTCACCTAGAAATTACATTCTTATATGAAAAGAGCAAACGATAAGGGAAAGATAGAGTTTGAGAGACGAGAGACGAGAGAGAGAGTATATATTCGCAGGGGTAAAAAGTTTGCAGGAACTTTATGAAAAGTAATTTTGCGAATCTATAACGCGTATCCGAGTTATATCTACTTATGATTACTTGCAAAGCGTTTGCTGATAGATCGGGAAAGATAGAAGGAAAGAGAGCTTGACTTATATCCCTTGGAAGGAAAACTTTACCAAGAGTTTCTATCTATCGTACGGTAATATGATCTAAAATAATAATGCATATTTAACCCTTTCGTTATATATTTAACCCAGCCGTTCACACGTATATGAATCGCTGTCTACGCCAATCATTTAACTTAATCACGTAACTCGAACATATGAAATATTTTATTGGACTTCCTCGCAATATTGCAAAAACAAATTATTTTATTCCCATGATATGATATTCTCTGATAAAAATGTATATACATATATTTACATATGTAAATGTATGATTATATCGAACGCTCCAGATATATATATTATATATACTTATTTACTTACTTCCATATGGGATTTAGCTTTCTTTCTTTCTTTCTCTTGCTATCCCATTGGATCATTCATCAACATTAAAATGTAATATAATTTGAACCTTACTAAAGAACCAACGCGCCACACTATCTCTCAGTTCCTTTTCTCATCCCTAAGAAATCCTATGCGTGTATCGTATACTTATATCTATTTACTTACATATATGTATATACTTACTTGCATATATAAATGTTTTTCAACTCGTATAATAAACTTCCTTACGAACGAACAAGCTCTTCCCTATCGTTATGACTTTTATTCACTTTTCTTTTTCTTCTTCTTCTTCTTCTTCTTTCCTTTTTTTTTCTTCTATTTTATCGTAGTATCTCGTCGCGATCATGCATAATCTTGGCAGTGTAGAGCTTTCCGTTGGAATGTACGCGGCATACATATGTAACACGAAGAAAGAGATAGAGAGATAGAGAAAGACAGATGGAAAGTAAGGAAGGGGAGTGGCGACACGTCTCGACGTCTGCAACGGAATTCTCTTGCATCTTCGGATCGTCGCCTTTTCTCTTTCTTTGTATCTTTTACAATGCCTCTACTACTACTACTACTACTACTAGATTCTAAACCCTTTTTGTCCTTTTATTTTTCGCGTTGCAAATACGTCAGTTGCATCATATTAAACATATGTTACATATCATCGAATTCATAGGTAAACGTAAAAAAACAATTCGTTGCTCGTTGTAGAAATGAATCCTCGGAACACAGTCCTCTGAAATCAGCTAACGAGACCCAAATCCAACATTTCTTGTATGATACTTCCCGTTTGATTTCAGTATCGCATGTGTACGTATATTCTTTGTGTGATAATAATTTGATAATAAAACAGTAATTTGTATCTAATCGTATGAAATGTAACATATATTTATTCATATTACAGAACAGCTAGAAAATATAGCAATTTCTTTATTAGAATAACAAAATTATTTGTTTCCAGCTGACAATGAATCGATGGAAAATATCAAAACGTTAATGATATGATCAAACGTTATTCGTATGGAGATGCTGAATTAACAGCACAGAAGAAACTTTTCTCTTTGTCTATATTTCACAATTGCTTTGAACCGGTACTTGTTCTTGTAACGAAATAGCAAAATGGATTCCGAGCGTATGAAGTTCCGATTAACCGGCATTCCGAGAGTTCCGACATGCTCCTGGTCTCTGGGTGCGACCTTTACAACCACTTCCTAGATCCTACATGCAATGCTTCCTACCCTATGCTAATCGATTTCGAATATATCAACTTCTATACCTACGACCTTAATAATATATCTATGTAAAATATATTAGGTTGTCCCACAAGTTCCTTCCTTCCATTTTTTTCTTATGCGACTTCAATAGATGATATTTATTGTTTAAGGTTGATTTAATGTGTTATATATGAACCATTCTGTTCTATTACCTTCTTCCATATATCACCTTATATCACTTTTACAACATAGTGATTAATCTGATATATATGTAAGAATTTTGGATAAATAATAGAATCTCGTAGGATGAGCTTTTAGGTTGACGAAATACGCAAACGCGAAGACTTGCGAAGAGACATGTAAAGTAACTCGTCGCAGTCATCGTCATTTCAAATTCGAGAAGGATAAGCTAGATACGCTTTTCCTCGTCGGATTCATGCAAAGTTTGAAAAAACAAGGGGAAACTCAATGCAGAGCTAAGCAAAGTAAAGTAAAGCAAAGCAAGGCGAATTTTTTAGCACGTTTTTAAGGTAGATCCGACTTAAAGCGAGGGCTACGTTCAAACTTTGCACAGTAGTATATTTCATTTATTTACATTTCCCTCTCCCTTTTTATCTTACACCCGCTACTTTTCGCTAAATTTTTCTAACAACGATACATACGTTTCCGTTCTACTTAGGAAGAAATTTAAAAGCCCCAACTAAAATATGTATACATTTGTAAATTTCATGTCAATTACTTCGAGTACACGCGCGTATACGCACGTCCACGTGCACGTACACGTGTTGAATCCTATCTATTTATCGGTGGAAAATTGTTCCCATTGTTTTGTAGAAAAGTGAAATGTTATCGAATCGTTTTTCAATTTCGCCGGTGTAACAAATGGTGATACAACACCTGCGGTGAACCTTGTATCCAACCCTTACACGCCCTTTCTCTCCTGCACGTCTCGGTCATGCATATTCAACGTACGAAACCTCCCTTTCTACGATGCGGAACGATGCTACTACAGCTTCCCATTCGTGTACCTATCAATGACAGCTGACAAATGCTACTCAAGTTGCAGTAACATCGGTGCAATTTCCGCGATAACTTAGAATCGATCTCATCCTCGAAAACCTTCGATTTCTATTCGAACAATCAACGAGCGATAATGAATTTTGTGCCAGCATTATTTCTTTCAATTTATGTACTCTTAGTGGTACGTTAAAATCATCGGATTATTTTTTGAATAATATTCTTGTTCATTTAGATACCATGACACTATAAGCTGCTATAATAATTTAACGTATTTACTTACGCTCGCGTCGTTAAACGTTTTAAATACGCAAAGAAAACGAAAATGATAGGATTAGTAAACGAGAAAACGAGGATACAAAGGAAAATTCTAAACTGGATGATGCGTTGAGAAATGTCGATAAACTCGTTTACTCGTTGATACGATGACAATTTGCAAAATAAGCGGATCCGTAGGGAGTAAACAAATAATGCTGAGAGGAATCGAACGCAATTGCAATTCGATTATCATTAATTAGCCGGCCTAATCAGAAAACTCGTTCCCATTCTACGTAATGGTGGAATATATTTTCCTGATAAACATGTTATACACCACCACTGTTGTTGTTCTTGTTGTTGTATCGTAGAAATAGAAACGAACAACAGAATCGAAGAGAGAAAGAGAAGATTCGAAAGATCGTCGTTCGGGTAAAATAAAGGGAACACACGGGAAAATATGTAAATCAAGGGGAAATAATTTCGAATGGATTCTTATCTATCGAGTATACGATTTAATAATCGATACGCGGAATCATATCAATCTGGATTGAAATCTCGGTTTTCATTTGTCACACGTATATACGCGAGCGCATACAATTTATCTAAATGCAAAGAAACTGTTTTCTCGTAGTGTGTAATGCAACGTTACAATCATGGGATAACACTCTACTGTGCAAAATAAATATAACGCGGGATACGCGTGGGAAGAGAAATTTTGCAATATGTAAAGAGTATCCTCCACTATCGACGTTTAATGAAGGCAGATGCATTTACCGAGTATCCTATACGTTTGTCGAGTTTGTCCATTTATTTTCTTTTCCTTTTCTTCTAAAACTATTTTTCGAGGGTAAAGCTCGCTTTTCCTTTGACAAAAGTTGTAATAATTCGAGGCGCAATTTTCGTTGCAGTATTTCTATAGCTGCAGTTTTACCGCGGTGCGTCACCTGCATTGCCGTGGAGAAAAATAAAGAGAGAAAAAGAAAGAGAGAGAGAGGAAGACGAAAACGCATAGAAAAAGAAAGAAAAAAAGGAGGAAGGAAGGAAATAAATAAAAAGAAGATTCTAGAGAACCGGTCGTTACGAATTTACCTCGTCCTATAGGGAAATAACTGCGACGACGATCTACGTTTAAAAAAAAAAAAAAGAAACTAAAAGAATACACAATTTTTCTAGTCTCCCTGCCTCGAAATGCCGTTCATATAAGAAACAAACCGAAACAAATAAAAAGTATTCGTATTTAAGTGACACGACAAAAAAACGCAATTATTGGTTTGTTTTAATCGATAATCTAAATACATTGAAGATGTTGCATAGTAAAGTTCAAAGGTAATCAATTCGATATCGTCTTTGGAACTAATCGTGCGGAATTTCTCAAGGTGTTGATAGTTCTATTTAATCGAACTCGTTAACGTGTTAACGTATAACATTGTAATCATTAATGATACGAAATACGATATATTAAACGTTGTTCGTGATATCAGGTAGTTGTGCTTAATCGATTTTAGCCACGAAGAGGGTGTGTTGTAAACGATATTTCGATGAAAAATCTAACAGCATCGGAGACGGGAAATGTTAGCATTTACGAGGGCGGAGAAGATGCTAAAATCCTCGTCTACTAATATCGATGAAAATTGTGATACGCGGTAAAGATGAACCTTCTAATACACAGCGGAACACCATAGTGGCAGCCAAGGAAGATCGATAAAGCACCTTGGCTCACAGCTTGACGGGCCTCGAAGGAAGGGAAGAGAGAGAGAGAGAGAGAGAGAGAGAGAAAGACCGAACGTGAGAGATAGAGGATGAAAAGAGAAAGCTCGTGAATGAAGGAAGGAGTTCCAATAGCCCTTTCAAGGAAATGGAGCGAACGGACCACCTTGCCACCATCTTCTTCCTATTCCTCGTAGTCATTTTATCTTAGGTTCTAAGACGATTTTAATGTCTGCTCTCGTTCCGGGCCCCGCGTACTCGAACCAACTTCTCTACCTAGGTATGTAGTCAACTTCGGTCTAATGGTTTAGGTGTTGTATCCTACCTGTAGGTATAAGTATATACCTAACATTTTTTCTTCTTCTTCTTCGTCTTATCTTTGTCTCATGAATTTTTCTTTAACCGAAAAAAGCTTCTATCGGTCCTTCTAATCGGAGGAACTCGAATATCCATTCGCGAGGAAGGATCAATGTCGACCAAAAAACTTTTTTCTTTTTTTCCCCCTCAGAATAAGAAATAGGAAATTTTCTTACTCCGAAAGAAGATCGTTTCGTTCGATTTATATGCGTCGCAAGGCTAATTCCGAACGTTGCATTCAGATGGGCCAGAAACTTTGCTCCTTCTCTTGATTGATTCTGTATTCAGGATGGATACGCGAGATGGGTTAACGGTGCCACGTTCTGATAGGGGGATGAGAGAATCTTAGCATTTGCGCTGGTGCTCAAGATAGAAAGATATGATATTTCCTTTCGATTGACTCGACCTAAATAATTTGAACGTGTGACAGTTAGAAGAATCGAACCTTCATCGTTTCCTCTTTTTACATCTTCTACATTATCATTATTATTATTATAGTCATCGTTGTCGATTCTATTTGTCGTTAGTTAGAGCATACATCTTGAGGTTCTCGTGGGAAATCTGGTTGGAAAGATAAATCGGCCACTAGCGAGTATCGACGATATCGAAAATCTTTTCAAGAGCAGACCCCCGTAGGATCGCGTGCGAGTGCGGACAAAGGGAAAAAAGCTTCGTCTCTTACAACGATCTTCCCTTTCGCATTGTACGCCACGATAAAATCATAGAATTATTCCTATACGTATTCTTATTTTTTCGCGACAACTCTTGTCACGTCGAAAGGACGGAAAGAATCGTATGAATGTTACATGGATTCCTTTACGGAGAAT